CTTTAATCTGCCTTTTAATAACTTAGCCTGCTGTTAAATTTATTTAGTTCTCCTCATATAGCTCAAGTAGACACCTACTTGCAGCAGCAAATCTAAATATACCAGATTATTTTTCACTATCCCTTTTTGGATGAATGGACACATTGGATAAACAGATATACTGCATAATTAAATATGCTAGGAGGCCACAGATTTTATCTTCATACTTCATGCATTTGGGTGTGTATCTAATTTACCTATGCATACATGTTTACATCTGCATAGGCACATCTGTGTGAGCAGGACCTCTGCATTTTTTTTCCACATTAATCTGAGTTAGTGATATAAAGGAAAAGAAATTACATGTTTTTCTACAATGTCTCTATTTGATGGAGAATTTTAAAAAAAAGTCTTATGAGTCATATAGATTATATTTGCATGTTTTAATTATGAGGTGCATGTGGCCATCCTGCCTTTCATTCTAAAATCATCTTTTCTTACCCTGCAGCCTCCCTGGCTTTCCATTCATTCATTTACCTTCAAATAAAGATATATTAAAAGAATTCTTCTTATGAAGAATTTCATTTCTTAAAATATGGGCAGCTAGAGAGACTTCATAGATAGATAGGTAGGTAGGTAGGCAGGCAGGCAGGCATGCATGCCTGTATGTATGTTAGGCTAGGAAGAATAAGTAGTACACCATCTCCAGCGTTATAATCCAACTGCATTAGATTCCAAAACACCAAGAGAAATTGGAAAGAGCATTGTTGTATCACAACTTTTTATTTTCAACCCAGTGGATTAGTGCAAAGATATTTTGGAAAAAAGAAAAGAAAGATTATGGTTAAAAATTGGCCAGATCAGGCTGGGGATTGTGGTGGAAAACATTCCACAAAGAACTTTCCTCATTCATTCCTATGGAAGAGACAGTTGGGCAGCTACACAGAAAGTTGTGACTCCTCCTTTCTAAGCTCTTCCAACCTCTTCCTTCTTAGTATTTCAGCCAGAGCAGAATAAGAATTAAACTGAGAGACGCTTTGGTGTAGTAATTACAGTGCTGACCTAGAACCAAGAAATTCTGAGTTTTAGTCCTGCTTTAGGCATAAAAGGTAGCTGGGTGACTTTGGGTCATCACTCTCACTTTCTGCT